CAGAGGGACATGGGATAGAAAGCCCTGTGGCTGGTGGGGGGCCCAGGTGCATCCTGAACTGGGAGCAGCCCTGCGTGTTCAGTAGAATTCAGGTGTACTTTTACTCCATGGATTTGTCTGGTCCTTTTGGGAACCTGCAGGAAGGTTTGCTGTCTGACACTGTGAAGTGGTTCAAGGAAGTGGCTTTTGGTCTTAAAGCTGCACCTCGGTAATTTTATTTTATGTTCTTTAGTTTTCCCATGAAAGTAATAGTGAATAATTGCACCCACCTGATGCTCCCTGTTCCATTAAACATCTGTACATCTCTCTTAACTTCCTTACAGTTGTCTTATTGTTTGTTTTTTTCCAATTCAACCCACTAGAATTTTCCTACATTTGATCATCCTTTTGGATGTTCATATTCCTGAACACAAACCAGCCAGCCCTCAGTTCTGGACCATAGTTTTGGTTTGGTTATATGCTCTCATATAACTAAAAGTGATCTTTAAAGTCTATTCCCTCAAAAACCTATAGAATCATACAATATGCTGAGCTGGAAGGGACCCATCAGGATCATCAAGCCCAACTCCTGTTACTGTGTAAGGCACCCCAAGAATCACACCATGTGCCTGAGAGTAAATCAAGTATTTCTAAGCACTTAGAGAGGAAGGAGTCGATGTAGCTTTTGGCTAAACCATGGATAAGTTCAGTGCTTCATAACTGCATTCAGGTTTTTTAATTAGTCCTTTCTCATTTTATTTATTTTTATAAATGAGCTTAATGAAAGGCTTCCTGGAGTGACTTGGGTTACATTGCTGGAAATTCTTTCCAGGGAATTGGCCAGTGTTTAAATCTGCAGAGAAATCTCAGAAGTCTGCCATGGAGAGTAACACTGTGCTGGCCAGGGAGAGAAATCCATGGCCAGACAGCCCTGGTGTCCAGGTTTCTTTCTAGTCACAAGACGTGAAACCAAAAAGGAGAAGAGTTGTTTTAGAGTCTAGTGCTGTAGTTACCAAATAGACTAGACATACTTCCAGGTTTAGAGAATGTTTCTGGTTCCTTACAGAAAACCATAATGAAATAAAGTGCAGTCCTGACCAGCCATTGACTGCATTACTAATTGCTTTCTCAGCAAATAGCTTTTAAAAGTCTCTGGAGCAAACTGATCCTTTGGTGAGGGATGTGGAGCAGTTTCTGGAATGTGTTAACCTCCTTCACTTCAGGCTTCTCTACTGGCAGGGAACTTGGCCTGCTGAGAAAATGGGAAAGAGAAGAGTAGGTAAAACTTGAGTTTGTAAGTGCAGATGCATTGTGTTATTTGTACCTTTTTTGCAGTGTACAGAGCCCCAAAAGCTATTCAACATTGCAAATGAGCTGCTTCACACAGAAGAAGCCTATGTTAAAAGACTCCATCTGTTGGACCAGGTAATTCAATTTTAAATTGACTCCGCTTTCCTTTCTGTGAGCAGTGAAGGTGTCTCATGTCCATCCTCTAACCTGTAGCCCAGTTTGTAGGTGGGAGACAGAGTTTGCTTGCCAGGCTGTGTGCCATGGGTCCCAGGGGTGAGCTTTTGGCAGGTGGGTTCCTTGAGCTGGAACCCAAGGATTGGGATGTCAGAAAGAGGAATGGTAAAGCAGCAGCCCAGGATACAGGCACCATCAGCATGGGGTTCCTCCCTGAGCATCTGTGGAGGGGAAACCGTGGGGGACACTGAAGGCACCGAGAAGTGGTGAAATCCATGATTGCTCTTAAATGCACAAGACATCTGAGTTTTACTAAAATCAGGCCACGTGGATCAGCCACATGCTCACAGGGAGTTCTTTTTTTAAAACCCACATGTTTCATAATTGGTGTCCGTTGTGTTTACATGTGGGGATAAAGTAAAACCGGTGTGATGAGTCTGAACTTTCTTCCACAGAAATTTCCACAGAAATGCTGAGGGGAGTCTGCACAGCTCAGGCATTTCTGTCATCATCGCAAAAGAAAAAAAAAAAAAAGCCATGAACGTGCAGAAAAGAAGTAAAAATGAGGATGAGTCACATTGCTAACCAAGGGCTTTTTGAAAATAAGGTGGGGGGGGGGCAGAGAGGAGTAAGAAAATAAAATTGTCACCTTGCTGGAAATCTTACTAGAAACTGTAACTTGCAGAGTTCTCCAACCCCTGACACTAGGACCTCTGTGGAAGAGTTTCCAGTGTTTTCTTTGGATAAGTTGAGATTTTCGAGACTGTGGAAATGTAGGGAGTGTCTTTCCCTTTTGTTCAGTACAGTGTAATTTTTCCCATAGAGAAACAAAATAATCATATTGTTTCTTTTGCTTCACATGCATAGAAGTAAGTGCTCTTCAGGGACTGGTTGGTCTTAGCAACTTGCACTCCCAAATACAAGATGTCTGATCATCTCAGTAGATTCAATCTTTTTTGACTTAACTCTCAGATTTTTCAGATGTACCTCTATGGCCCATAGTCATAAATCTAACCCTAACTGACAGTGGGCTGAAGTTTTGTGACCTCCCAAAAGCCCCCCAGGACTGACTTCCACAAGTCAAAAATTGTATCTCTGTTCTAAGGCTTTTGTAATATTGTAGTCTGAAGTCAGTGTTTCCAGGGTTGGGTTTTTTTTAAATATATGTTGTACTGTCTTGTTGTCTCATGCAGGTTTTTTGCACTAAGTTGGCAGAAGCAGGTATTTCATCTGAAGTGGTAACAGGCATCTTTTCAAATATTTCTTCCATCTATTGTTTCCATGGACAATTTCTTCTTCCTGAGCTCAAAGCAAGAATTACACAAGAATGGTGAGTAACTGTCACTACAAGTACTTTAAAAGCATGTTTTCAAGGAGTTACAGCAACCATAAGGCCTAGTCTAATTCCAGAGTTTCAATTATTTAATGTTCAATGGTTACTTAACACACTAGGATGGAGTCTCTTAAGCATTTCTGAATATAGGAATAGACCTGAGCACTCAAAATAACTTGGGAGTACCTTGTGAGAATTTTTCAGTCCAAAGTATTGCCCAAGCTGGTTTCCATTCTCCTATTTTTGCAGTACCATGAAATTGCAGTACTAGGAAGGAAGGAAATAGCTTTTTTGGCCCCCACAGACCAAGTATTTTCTCCCCACTTCTCAAAGAAGGGAAAAGCATCAGCATGTATGCCAAGCTGGAGTCTTCATGAGAAACATCCATTTTAAATTTTCTTGTTACATTTATCTTGTTATGGCTATATACAATTTATTTTAATGTTAAAATCAGGATTATAGCAGCAAACCAATGGAAAATCTGGACAGATAAGATAGATGACTTCATATCTGTAAATCCGCTTACGTCTGTTATGCAACCACTTCTGCTGTTGAGCATCACAGTGTTGCACAAGGTTATACCCCAGGATTTGCTGCCTTCTGTTCTAGGAGTTAATAAATGTTATAGGTTACAGTGGGTATGTGCTTTCTTTAAGAAAGTAGGTATGGTTTGGTTGGGTTTTTTCAATGACTAATAATGGTCAAATACCAATTAAAATTTGGCACTTATGGTAGGATGTAGCTGTTGCAGAAATTCAGTGCTAGGTAGAAAGGTTTATTGTCAAGCAGATGTAGGAAAGTGGAATTGAGATGACACACTAGCTGCAAAGAGTGTCCTGCAGGGGAAGGTGCAGATTGTGCTGGCACGACACCTTTCCAGGTACCCTGAATGATGGAGACAAGACCAGAGTTCACATCTCTCTTGGCCAAGTCCAATCTTCACATAGTCCATCAATGACCAGAAGGATGTGAGCCTCAGCACCTTTGCACCTGACTTACGTTTACAAGAACAGCTGTAATAAAAGGGGAGGAAAACTGAAGAGTCTGAAGTCAGAAGCTTGTTAAATGGCCAGAGGGGGTCTGGTGTGCTCAGACTGCAAGGCTCGGGTTCAGTGGGAGAAAAGAGCTGGGGTAGAAGAGCTGGCTCTGTTTGGCCTGGCATTTGGAAGAGGCAAAGATGTGTGGCTCCTACTGCTCCCAACTGGGGGAGGCTCCAGGCAAATGTGTGTCTGGCCCCCGGGGACTTACCTAGTTGAACTGGGCCATCTCTTAGCATTAAAACCTCTTCAGATGTTTGTCTATGGTGGAAAAGATTATTTTTAAAAAGTAAAAGTTTCCTACAAGGTTTTGTGCTGGACAGCAGAGACATATAGGTGTTTCTTTCACAATGTGTAGTCAATCAGTTTGAATCTGCTCTTCACTTAGGAGATTGATGGTGGGGGCAGAAATATCAGCCTTTGTACATCTAGATTAATATTTTAGATTTCATCTAGGATACCATGTAGAATACTTCAAACTAAATTAAAATAACTTGATTGTGTATGTGTGTAAGCTTGTGCATGTGGGAAGCAGCTGTGGAAGTCTTATATTTGTGTTTTGCCTCTGAAGATAGTCTTGATTTGCAGAGATTGCAGAACTTTACTCTCTCTTTCCCATAGGAATGTCAACCCACGGCTCGGAGATATCCTACAGAAACTTGCTCCTTTTTTGAAGATGTATGGAGAATATGTGAAGAACTTTGATAGGGCGATGGACCTGGTGAACACGTGTATGCAGAGGTCCTCTCCATTCAAAGATGTTGTTCAGAACATCCAGGTATGTTGTTAATTGGCATGATACGGCTTGGAGGTCGTAATTTGTGTGAGTTTATTATTTTTCTGGTGCATTGGTGCATGACACACTGTTTAGCTACAAGATGATACTGCTGTAGTACAAAAGCAGTACCATTTTAGCAAACATCCTTTCTTCCCTCCACGGCAGCATGGAGCAGAAAGTGGCCCGAGCTGGTTAGAGGAGTTGGCACAAGCAGTTTAATGTGGGTGTGTGTGAGGGCAGCAAACAGCAGTTCCTTTCCTTTAGCTGGACAGATGATCATGGTCACAACACAACCAAAAGCTGCAGTGAGAGAATGTGGGAGCTCAGACTGAGCTGCTGTGCAGACACGTGGCCGTGCAGGGCTGGGGCTGCAGCGAGTGCCTGAGCCTGGCGCTGGTACCGGGGGAGCCGGTGACACCGTGTGTGTGTGGGGTGAGCAAGGACATGACCTGCTCAGGGAGGTGGCTGAACTGAGGGAGGAGGCAGAAAGGTTAAGAACCATCAGAGAACGGGAGCATGAAATAGATTGGTGGAGCCACAGCCTAAGGCAAGGGCAGAAGGAAGAAGTTCTTGAACAAGTGATGGTTCCCCTCCTGTCATCAGGCAGAAGGAGGGAGCTCACGGGTCAGAGAGGAATGGAGGGAGGTCCCTCCTCAGAGAGGCAAGGGAAAAACCTCACAGACCCCCCATCCTCCCAGTTGCCCTTGAAAAACAGGTAGGAGGCTTTGGAACTTCAGGGCCAGATAAATGAAGATGGAGAGGTAGATCTGTCTACTGAGTCACCACGGGCTTGTCACTCACCCCCACACCTTAGGACTTCTTCAACTAAGAAGAAAAGGAGAGTAATTGTGGTGGGTGACTCCCTTCTGAGGGGAACAGAAGGGCCCATTTGTTGACCAGACCCGTCCTACAGGGAAGTCTGCTGCCTCCCTGGGGCTCAGATGAGACATGTTGAAAGGAAACTCTGATCTGGTAAAGCCCTCTGACTACTACCCACTGCTGGTTTTTCAGGTTGGCAATGATGAAATTGTTACAAGGAGTCCAAGGGCAGTGAAGAGAGACTTCAGGGCCCTGGGAACAGCTGGTTGGGGGGTCTGGAGCACAAGTAGTGTTTTCCTCCATCCCTGCTGCAAGAAAGGATGAAGAGATAAACAGGAGGAGGCTGCAGATCAACGCATGGCTGTGTGACTGGTGCCAAAGGCAGGGCTTTGGGTATTTTGATCACAGGCTGCTATATGAGACACCTGGCCTGCTGGTGGCAGGTGGATGCACCTGTCCCAGAGGGGCAAAAGGCTTTTGGGGCAGGAATTAGCAGGGCTCATTGACAGGGCTTTAAACTAGATATGAAGGGGGAAGGGGAGATAACTGGGCCTGTTAGGGACAAGCCCAAGAGAAACATGCCAGGGCTTGAAGGATGGTGGACTAGGGAGTATTCTTACTCTGTTGTTTCATTTGAGAGAAAGAATAGATGTTTAGAAATCATGGAAGCACTGAGAAGGGTCTGGTAGGAAATGGAGCCCACAGTGCAAAAAAGGTGTTGGAAACATTAGCTCATCTGAAGTGCATCTATACCAGTGCACGCAGGATGATCAGCAAACGGGGAGCTTGAATCCATGGTACACCAGGGAAACTATGACATAGTGGCTATCACAGAAACGTGGTGGGATGCATCACATGGCTGGAGTGCTACAATGGATGGCTACAAGCTCTTCAGGAGGGATAGAAAGGGAAGGAGAGGGGGTGAAGTGGCCCTGTATTTTAGAGAATGCTATGAGAGCTTGGAAATCAAGTATAGTCGTGATGAGGTTGAGAGTGTTTGGATTAGGTTGAGGGCCAATAAAGCTGGTGTCACTGTGGGAGTCTGCTGGAGACCTCCCAACCAAACAGTGAGATGGATGAAGCTTCCTATAAGCATTTGGGAGAAATCTCCCAGTCACTTGCTGTTGTTCTTGTGG